CACATGGAATATAAACGGAGCCGGTACCCAACAGAAAAGATGTAGAATTTTTAACCAGCTTAAAATAAATAAAGAAAAAACAACTATATTGGGTATTAAAAACATAACTGAGAATATAGTTTACGATCAGGGAGAAGTAAATAATGTTTTCAGAGACTTCTATCGAGTTTTATATACACTCAGCAGATAAACCCTTCGGATAAGGATATTGAACAATTTTTGGAAAAAGTATCCCTTCCAAAATTATCCAGTAACCAGTCTTTAGAACTAGACTCTCCAATAACATCAGCTGAATTATGTGAAGCTGTTAAAAAAAATGCCGAACAAGAAAGCCCAAGGTCCGGATGGGTTCCCAGCAGAATTTTATAAAGAATTCTGGAATATTCTGGGACCATTATTTTTTAGAATGCTTCAGGAATCAGAGGAAAATGGCAGGCTTCCATTACATATGAATTCGGCCAACATAAGTCTCCTATTAAAACCAGGTAAAGACCCAGTACTACATACAAGTTATCTTCACATTTCCATTTTTAATGTTGATGTTAAAATAATTTGTAAAGCTCTCTCTAAAAGATTAGAGAAGATAATTTCTTTCTTAATTCATCCTGACCAAACCGGTTTCATAAAAGGAAGGCACTCGACTACAAACTCACTTAGATTATACAATTTAATAGACTATTCATACAGTAAAAATATTGAAATGACTATTTTGTCTCTAGATGCAGAAAAAGCATTTGATAGAGTAAATTTGGAAATTTTTATTTGCAACACTGCATAAATTTGGGTTTGGAACCCATTTTATTAACTGGTTGAAAATATTGTATAGTCCACCAACAACGCGTGTCAGGACAAATAATCAAATATTTTCTAGCTTTTGTTTACAGAGAGGCACCCGGCAGGGATGCCCACTGTCCCCCTCAGTTTGCTATTTCTATTGAACCTCTAGCAGCTGCGATCAGGCAAACTGCAGATATTAAAGGCGTACAATGTAAGAACATAGAACATAAAATTAGTCTGTATGCGGATGATGTTTTACTTTTCCTTAAGCACTCGGAAAATTCAATATCTAAAGTTATTGAATTAATAAAACTCTTTTTCAAGTTTCTGACTACTCTATAAATTGGTTAAAATCTACAGTTCTTCCAATTAACTGTGTTTTTAAAAATTCTTTAAACACACAACTACAGTTAGGAAATATTAAATATCGGGGTATTAATATTTCTTCTGGATGGGAAGATTTAATAAAATTAAACCACAATCCTCTTTTAAAAACAATTGAAGAAGATCTTACTAGGTGGAGTTCTCTACCATATCCCTCATGGGAAGAGTTGCTTCTATTAAAATGATGGTTCTACCGAGAATAAATTATTTATTGTCAATGATACTGTTGTGGAATACTGATTATGTATCACCTGGACACTGTCCACTCGTTCCTGTTCCTGTTCCTGNGATGCCCACTGTCCCCCTCACTGTTTGCTATTTTTATTGAACCTCTAGCAGGTGCGATCAGGCAAACTGCAGATATTAAAGGCATACAATGTAAGAACATAGAACATAAAATTAGTCTGTATGCGGATGATGTTTTACTTTTCCTTAAGCCCTCGGAAAATTCAATATCTAAAGTTATTGAATTAATAAACTCTTTTTCAAAAGTTTCTGACTACTCTACAAATTGGTTAAAATCTAAAGTTCTTCCAATTAACTGTGTTTTTGACGTTTTACTGTTCTATATAAGTAATCTGAGTTGATGTGAATTGAAACTCGGACGCGAGTTTTATCTCATTTAACTCTGACGCTGTTATGGGAATAACCACAATCAAGTGTAACTTATGATCTSTTCAATTTGTGTAATTAAATGATTGCATAGTCTTTRTGAATCAACTTGAAATCGTCTGAGCGTTCACTTATTGTGTCACTTTTCACTTCGCACAGTCAAGATAYTAACAAATAATGAGAAATACCTTGGTAAAAGTTTTCCTCATAACCTTGAGTATGAGAGATGTGGGAAAAGCTTAATTCACCTTAAGCACCTTTCCTTACAGATATTAAAGTTTATAATCTTTCCACAAAATCTMCATCAATATATCTGAACTTCCTTTATTGAATATTTAACATTTAACCCAAAGTGTTTGAGGTTTTTTGTTTGCTTTGTCAATTTAACACTGTCCTCTTATCATTTAAAGGTCACCCATCTCTTTGACAATGGAGCAACAGTTTTCTTTGCAGTATTTATGGCAGTTTGGGGTAAGTCTTATCACACAAGTTAACACGATATAACGAAAAATCTCTTAATGGAAGCTGCTAWTGTGCAGGATTCCAGTTTGTCCGTTTTAAGCTGTTGTAGAAATATGGCAAAGCAACCAATTACAATACAACAAAAGCCTCAATGTTGTTTCTTTATATAAAAGAATCGTAATATTCTTAATTGCAAATTATAAATAAATTGTATTCTTGTTGCCTTTTTTGACACAATGTAACGTTTGTAATTGTGCACATTTTATGATGACACCTTGCCATTTATGAGGTCCTGAATGCCAGTCAGCTTTGAACGAGGTCCCAGGGTATGAAGGGAGCATGTGGAGATTTTGTAGACGGCTCGTATTTGTCTTCTGCATTCCATGTGTGTGTTGGAGTCRGTGAAGTTTCAGTAGCATCTTGACAAAGGAAATATGTGGGCTGTTTGTAGGTGCCTGTGAAAATGTGCGGAAGCTCTGAAGAGACACATAAAAAAATAATATTTTAAGTAGAGAGAGATGACAGCAAATTTAAACATGAATTTTCTACAGCATGATTCTCACAACTGCAGATGCTGCTACTGTAACTTATTATGAATAAAACAAATGTATTCAATTCACTTATTGATGCATGAAACTTTCTAGTATTAACAGTAGAGGAAACACTACAGTCATGCTGCTCACCGCTGAGCTTTTTAACAGAGTCTGGTTGTCTGAGAGCCTCTTTTACTCTGTTGTCAAACCTCCAACATCTCAGCATGAAGAGCAGAACTAAACACAGCTGGAGGGCAAAGGTCAACACGCCCAGCACAACAATGATGTTAACTGTTGAAGAACAAAGAACAGGCAGAGAAATATATGATGAAATAGATAGATAGAAATAGATGAAACATATGAAGGGTTGTGTACAAAAATAAATCAGATAATAACTCCTCTAAAATCATAAACTGAAACAGAATCAAGTATCTTCAAAGTTTTAAAATAACACTCCCCATCCATCAGGCAATACAGGAAAACGTGTTGTAGGAAAACACACTCATTAGACCTGGGCATAAGTAATCACATCATGTAATCACCCTAATCTGAATTTCTAATCTGAGTCAACTCAATCAGAATAAATTTGTAATCTGAATGAGAGGGGTGGTTTATACTGAGTGATAATCCAAATGGCATTCGTGTAAACACTTTTTCTAGTTGTGGAAAACTGACCTGTCTGTGCGCCTAATGTCAACCTGACTTATTTCCACTGGGCTAGATGCTAATATGTCAGGGAAGCAAAAACCGTGGGTTAGTGCAGCAACATTTTTATTAGAAACTTTAAAAGAGCTTAAAATTATTGAACACCTTAATGGTGGAGAGTGTCAGGACATGGAGTTATTTCTGTGATTGTTTATGTTCATCATGGAAGTAGAACTTCTGTGGTTTTTTTTAGGGAAACTTTACAACTCTGCGCATGTCATTTACAACTCATGCACTTTTCTGAATAAAAGTCTGGTGCATGTAAACGCCCGTCATGATTGGATGAATTAATTTTGTGCCCACTTTAACGATACATTTGGATTATTTAAACTGAGTACATTTCAATTCGATCAAAGTATTTTGCACATACAAGCACAGCTATTGTGACATTTACTTTGATGTTTTTGTTCATGTTTTTGTCTCTTCTGCTTCACTTATTTGTTAAAAACATGGATTTCTAACTGTACATTGTTTAAATACATAAAACAAAGTGGCGGCTTTATTTTGCAAAAAAATGGTACGCAATAAAGGATCAATATTTAGGAGCTAAAAAGTCTTGATTTGGGATCCAAATTAAAAACACAACAAAGTCAAGAACAAGCATTCATTAGTAACCACTGCAGCCACCATACATTGTACATGAGTAAGACCTAAATGGTGTGGGCCAGATCTGGCAATGATGGCACTGTTTTTAAGATCGCATACTATAACTGGCCCAGCTATAGTGTGGTTTATGTGGTGCTGGCCCATGCATGGACCATCTCTGGTCTACCAAAGAGCCATCATTCTTTGTGGTATCAGTGTTTCTCTATGTGGTATGGATTATTTTCAAAAACTTTTGTCAAGTGGATKGAGACTGGAGTTCTAGGGTCACATTTAAGGAATTTTCTGTTCCTGTGTAAGCATAGTGATGATGGTATTCTTGGCACAAAGTAAAGCTTGCTAGCAGTTCAAGTTCCACTCCACCCCTGATCCTGTTTATGGTAGCAGAGATCGTATCTTGAGGTGTACTCATAAACAGATTTAGGAACATCAGGGTCTCATTTATGCTTTTTGTTTCCAAGCCATAACTTTACCTGGACTAAGTGGCTGTGGGATCAGTGCCTTTAAATCTGAGACCAGGGTTCTTGACAGGAAAAATGTGGAACTCTCCCACTGGCTTCCAGGATGGGGGTGAGACTTTGCATCATGTTAATGACTTCAGTTATCTTTGAGGACCTCAGGGAGATAGGATGAAGAATTGGGGCTTCATCAGTAGTGATGATGTTGTTGTTCAAGTTGATTGTGGTAAAGAAGTGGTTGAAGCAAAAGGCTAAGCTTTTTATGGGTCTGTCCACGTTCCAAACTTCAACTATTGTCATGAGACATAGATCTCCCAAAAGAACAAGATCACTAATACAAACAACTGAAATGAAGCTGGAAGAGCTTAGAATAGATCCTATTTTCCATTGCATCGAAAGTAATCAGCTTACTTGGTTTAGGTATTTGATCAGGCAACACATTTTCACTCCCAACTCATCACATATCGACGCTTGGTCAGGTACCGTCTGCATCCGGTTTTGACACACTGGGTCAGTTATTGATTAGATGAGACCAAGGAAGAGGACAAAATGCATGAAAACTAACTATCCCAGACCCTAAACTTAACTACTATTAGCCGTAGACATCCTATCCCTGAGCTCACTACCTAAAATTAACCAGCAATCCTGATTCCTAATATTAACCACGGACCCCAACACAAAGACCCAAAAACTCAACTCAAAGATGTGGCACAAACCCGGAAAAGCCGTGGGTGTCAATAACTGATGCAACGGGGTTATCCGACGCATCAAAACCAGACACAGACAGTACCTGACCAAGTGTAAATACGAGTAAGAAAGTGTTTGATCAGAATGCATCTTAAATGTTTCCCTACAGAGCTTTTTCTAACACATCCCACAGGAACAAGAGCTCACAGGGTGTTAATATGTGTCCCCTCCAGCTGGAGAGTGTTTATATGAGAGAGAGAAGTCCAGTTCTGGGGTCGGATTTATAAAACTGGCGTACGCAMAATATGAGCCCAGAAACTTGCGTACGCCACTTTTTACGCCAAGGTTGTGATTTATAAAATCCAAACTTAACGTGAAAATGTGCGGTGCCTCACGCCAGCTTTGACCCATGTGTATGCTCATTTTGGAGACGTGAAACTGCGACACAGATGGTGAAGTGAAGAATTAGAGTTACACTGTGTAATGATCACTGTCAGATATTTAATTTCACTTCATCAGACTTAGATTTTTATTCAACTTTATCATCAGCATTCTTAACAGTAATATTTATGCTTCTGCTGCTGAACCATGAGGACCTTTGAAATAAAAAAACTTAAATCTTAAATAAAAGTTCCCGTGCGCAACTCCATTCATCTGCTTCCTCCTCAGAC